CCCAAATAAATGAAGTCTGTTACTGCTTCCATTTCTACCCCTTCTATTTGCCAGGAATATATTTTTTTTTATATTATATTAAAAAAGCAAAGTGCATGGTTATATATACAGAGAGAGTCATGCATTTTGCTTCTCTATATCTATCTATCTCACTAGAGTTTTTAATCCTAATACGTAAAGCGCCTGGAGTTATTTCATTATTTATTAAACGTATATGCCCCAATGAGTCTGGGGGGTTACAAATAAAAACGTAAAAGCGAGGGGAAAAAATACAGTAATAGATGAAAATGAAGAGTGAAGAGGGCAAGGGTGACCCAAAAACGTTGGATGGGAACAAAATGACACAACCCCCCCCCCAAATCCAAAGGGGGCTTCTAAGTGGGGAAACTGAATACATAAATATATGCTATTGCGCCACAGGTGACTCCTGTGGGTGGGACTGATCCGCAACTTGCCAGATTTTGATTGTTGGAGGTTTTTTATACTTAAAACCACCATTACATAGCATCAAATGTGAGACTGCACAGCCTGAAACAGTTCAAACGAAAAGGGCTAATGTGGAAAGTGGACGCGTAGCTGGCTTAAAAATGATACTCCAGGGCGACAAGGAAATATTCCCTGTCAAATTAGAGGGAGGTATTGAGAGGGGGGCATCAGCGCTGGATCCTCTGCCGTTTGGTGTTTGCATGCTTGGCTTGGATGAGGTGGTGGAGGAGGCTGGTCAGATCTGTGTGTGACACAAAATTGAGTGGGAGAGTCAGAAGTCCAGTGTTTCTCAGCCTCAACAAGTTTGCAGGGGGTGGGCTTCGACTCCCAAAATTCCCCAGCCAGCTTGCTGAGGGGTTCAGGGAGTTGACATCCACCCCCCCCCAAACTTGCTGAGGTTGAGAAACACTGATTTACACAAACTGGAACAGGTTCAAAGACAGGGGAGCAAAGCAGCTGGACATGTTTAACCTTGAGAAGATGCGGAAGAATAAGATCACAGCTGAAAGGATGTTACACAATGAATGCTTGGAGCCACTGTTCCAGGAAACCAGCCACGAGCGTCCCTTACTGCTCTTGGTGTATAAACGGTTTGACGCCCACTTAGACAGGAGAAAAGGACTGTTCTCCCATATCCACTAATACCACCTTACAATGCCTCTCCAGGGTCTCGGTACAAATCCTGCTGGAGATTCACTGGCAGTATTTTCCCCGTACCCTCCCCGCGTTAAAAGTTTGGGAGACTCACTAACTGGGTGCTTTTGAATGTGTAATACAGCTTCTGTTCTTCCACTGGAGTATAATTCAACAGCGCTGCCAAGAAAATGCATGCTCTCTATGAAGTTTCCTTGAAGTGGCTCTGCCTTAATCAGTATTCAGGCTTTGTCCTTCTCCTAAAGGAAAAATACAAGTGTCGAAGGCCAATTAGCACCGTTAAGCAAATCTACAAGTCGCACGGAGTGACAGGGCTTGGTCTGAGCGGGCAGGACTGGCCCAAAGGCCGCAAGGAGAATTTCGGTGGCTGAGGGGGGACTAAAACCTGGGTCTCCCCTCCCAGTCCAGCAGCTCCCCCACTGAACCACCTTGCCTCTGGGGCTGAGAGGGAGGGAGTGCCCACCATCTCCCAGGAAGTTTCCTTGGCTGGGGAGGGAGGGGATCCGACCCTGGGTCTCCCCACTCCTGGTCCGGCCTTCTCCTCTGGCTCGGTTGAGGAAAAGCGGGACATGGTAGCAACCACGAAGGCCAGCGCTGCTCCTTCCCCTATTTAAGCTCCCCAAACCACACGGGAGGGGCCGAGGACCATCAAAGGGCCACAGGAAGAAAAGTAACTGGGGACAGTAGGGCGGCCTGGGCAGGGTGAAGAGAAGATGCAGATTAGCCCAGGGATGCTGCAGGGGCAAATTGTGCAGCAGCAGTCCTTAAAACGGGATTACAGAGGAAAATGAATGCCTCAAACCCCATTCTTTGAGCTGCACAGATGATATAATTATGCTTTCTCTCCCACATGCAGGAATGTTTAAAAAAATGAGGTGCAACCACACTCTTAAGCTAAGCGAGTCTCTGTTTAAAGCGAGCCACACATCTGCAGAGTTCTCTAATGGCGAGCTGCAATGGCCGTAATCTGCTAATGAGCCAGTTACTTCTTTTTTTACAACAGTCGCTGCACAAAAGCCCCCAGTTGGCTAGCTCAGGATAAAACCACAAGTAATGGGCATTCATAATCCTAAAATTCAGACAGCACTTTCTTAGTTAGTGGTATTGCTTTGCAAAGCCGTGTCCCTTAGAGGCAGAGATCTCTCAGCTTTCTAATAAACACCAATTAATTAATGGAGCTCTGCCAGGGTTAATGTCACTGGATGCTTTCAAGCTGCATTCAAACGTGTTCTGGATTACTTTTTTTTTACTTCCACATTAGGCAGCCAAGAGTAGATAATGTGGTGCATTTATTGCCTTCAAACCCCTCCCTTCCATCCAAGCCAGAATGGCCACTGACAAGGAAATATAGGGATTTATAATCCCCAAAACATGGGCGATGCCAGGTTGCTAGGCTCTGATTTGAAGGAGCCTCTGAGTTTGCAGAGGGAAAGGGAAGATTATGCAGGTCGTGTGTGGTGCGGTGTGCATGCGTGCGTGTGTATTCCCAATCCCTTCTTCCCCCTTATTTTATTGTATCATACTGCCTTTTTATTTTTACAGTTCAAATTGCTCAAATCTAAAACTGAGTATTTTTTCCAAAGACTATACTTAGACTTGCTTATTTAATTTTATTAAATTAATGTAAAATTCAGTGAAAATGTAAAATTTTATCAGTCCTCCATTATTAGAAATACAGCCTTAGGATTTATTAATATTTTTAAAATTGAATCATGACAAATAATGAATTCGTAAGATTGCTTCTGCTTTCAGGGCATTACAAGATTTAGAGACGTAGCCTAAAAGTGAAAACCTTTCTTGGTATTTGCATACACTCTCTCTCTTTTTCTTCAAAGGCTCTCAGTTGCATTAAAGATATCCTAATTGTTCCCACTTATCTACAGGTTTTATTCTCAGTACATTTTATAGCAACCACAGCATCCACTTATTCAATATCTTCTGGTCTGACAGGATGTGGTAATGGTATAATTGATTTCTTCTCTTTATCCCTTGATAGAGCTTTCCTCATGTCTGTAAAAAACACGGAACAAAATACAGATTCATAACACAACATACAATTCAAAGTCCAGTGGAACTGCAACTGTCTATCAACCCTCTGGAATGACGTCCCCAAAGATCCGCATGGCTTCCACCCTGAGGACCTGACTATTCTCCCAAGCTCTCTTCCAGTAAGTGAACACTGAGCCCCTGCTGAATGGAGTTTTTGGTTGGTTATATGTGGTTTTGGGGGCTGTTTATGATTCATCTTTTCTAATTTTTTACTTTTTAATGGTAAGCCGTCCAGAGTCATTGGGAATCAGGTGCCCTATACAATGTCCAGGTATTTATTTTATTTATTTATATGTCAAATTTGTTAGGGGGGACGCGGTGGCGCAGCGGCTTAATGACACTGAAAGTTGCCGGCCAGAAATGGTCGACACTTCAGCGGTTCGAGCCCAGCTTTCGCGCAGCAG